CTGTAAGCTCACTGCAACTTTCGTCTGTTTAATAGCTGTCAGTTTGTTCTCTGGCTTCTGAAATCACACGCCATGCATTCTGAGATGCCTCTGGGCAGTTAAAGGCTGTTCATTTCAAGTGCGGTTTTACATGACTCAGATTTTGCTTTTCCTACTTGTTTTCACTCCATAGAACAAATGTAATCTGCTTAGAATGTGCAATATGGAGCTAATTCTTAGAATCTTTAATTATTGTTTTTGTTATCGTTGGAAACAGAACTGAGCTCAGTGAAGATCTTTGGTGGACTTCTTCCGGTGGAGTGAAATGTTCCCTTTTGCCGCGTGTATATCGAACTGTCACTGTCACTATGTCATGAATGTCTTTGTTAAGCCTAACCTACTTTTCTGCAGACAGCTTCTCTCTCAAACAGTATCAGAGATCTGCCTCGAGATTCGAGCAAAACCTTGTCCATATATAGAGACACCATGGGAATGTCCTGTCTGCCTTCTCCATATATTTTAAGGACTGATCTAACAGCCATCAGTGAGGACTAATTTAACGATCACAATGTAATGAATTTATCATTTTCTGTGTTGCGATTCTGACACATCTAGAACTTCGCCAAAGAATGTCATAACTTTCAGTGGAGTGATCGACATTGAATGCCCGGCAGTTTCGGATACGGTGCTTCGAAACATTTATATTTTCTTTGTACCATCGGATGCGATAGAATTCATTAAATATTTGCACTGGCTTCAGTGAACAAATAATTAAAAATTGCAATAAAATTAACATTGATGCACTCGTGCCTATGAGTAAGTTTGATATGTTTTTCTCCATTTTTCAGCAGAGATGTAAGTTGCTTGCATAATTCACTTACAAGTATGTAAGTCAATTTCTCAGAAACCATTAAACGGACGGTGAAGTCAAAATCAACCAACATGGTACGATGCGAACTCAGGATATATCCACTCCATCGCACGGAGTGATGCACATCAATCCACTCCATTCAGAACGTCTACACTGGTCGATAATTGCACTTCATCCTACGGCTGTTGCTGCCGCCAGCTCGCAGTGGTAAGCTGTATGCCGTGACTTTGTTCAATGATGGACAGCTACATCAGATGAGCGGTAACTGCTGAAATAATTTTTAGCGAATATTTTAAAACGGACGGTGCTGAGGAAATATTCGGGTTAGGTTTCTAAGAAAAATATCACTTCAACATTTAGTTGAGAAGATGTAACCTGAGCATAAGAAAAAGTACAGTTGTTGCTTAACTCGAAGGCTTATCCAAGTTAGGCTTTCCCATGTTGAGTAATGATTGATGGAAATTCGACAGTTCGTCAACTTGACATATCTTGAGTTAAAATATCTCTCTTACTGCTATAAAAGTCGTTTTTCTCGCTACTCTCGCGAGAATAATAAAATTCTCTTTTAAAATATTACGACAAGTTATAATTCTGACCCTGTTCCTGAATTTATAAATTATTCTTCCTATAGGATCTTGTGGATGTGTTTCAACCGACTTAACTTTGAATTATAATTTTTGCATTTGGAGGAAACTGGTATCTTCGATTGCTCTTGGTGCATGTCCGTAAATTATGCTGCGAATCTTTCCCCTTATGACAACAAAGGAAAATGCGGTGCTCCCGAGGTATGTCGATATGCTTCCTGAAATATTCTTGATCTCATGTTTTCTCTTGCTTGTTTATTTAGAGTTTGTTTCAGTTTCGTTTGCTTGCTATTCCCCGGAGGAACACAAGTTAGCTCTCCCGGAACAAATCAGTATATTTAAGAAATTTTTGAGACTCCGCATTAGACTTAATTAGGACACTGGTTTAGTTAACTGTCGTACTTAATAACGCCTTGAAGGTAAACATAGTGCCTTTGAAAGGTATTTTATGTCTTGATACGCAAAAAATGGTTGAATATTATGTGGGTTTTGCACTAAGGGTTTATGCATTAATAATATAATTTTAGACACTTTCCACTGCTTTCAGGTAAGAAGTGTTCCAAAGGGACTGCACATGTGCAGGGCATTAAAAATAAAAGACGGCCGTGGTGAGGTTGGCAAATGATAGGTTTCGTATCCTTTGCAGAATGATGTACTGGTTGAACGGATTAGGGGATATTTGAAGATGCATCTTGACTGAATTTAATGTGTGCGTATCGAAAGAAAACGATTGAGCCAATCAGAAGGACGTCCTCAAGCAAACGAATTGATGAACCATGGTCCGAAACAATGCAGCATTGTTTTTGTTTTCACATATTTTCTATTTGGTCTTCCTTTTGTGCTGTTTCTTTTGATCAAAAGAGATGTGCAGTGCGACAGAGCAGGCATTTTGCTCT